TCATGCGGTGGCCCTGCGAGCCGCGCGGTTTTGGTTTTCCTTTGGGGCACGGCGGTTTTCGCCGCAGGCATGGCCACCCCTTGCACTTCGATACCAACGAGCAGCTGCTGCGCGACTCTTTGGGCACCGAGGCGAGAATTGGTCTTGGTCGATCGACGGGGCCCTCTGTGCTTCCGTGGCGCCCGACAAAAAAGACACACACAGGGGTCCTGGTCCACCCATGTCCACCCCCTTTGGTTGACATTCAAAGATGGAAATCAAGAGGAAGCAAAGACACTTCGAAGACGCTTGACCATTGTAGGCACCGATTCCTGTCTGAGAAACACCCTCATGGAGCGCTGACTTGTTGCAATTGAGTCGACCAACAAATCAAGCGGTGAGCGAAGTGAACCGCGCTGGCGTGAATGTGAAAACATGTCTTTTGCTGGTCACAACGAATGCAGCAGAGTTCCTGCACATTTCCTTGCATTGTTTTTGGCTGCCAAAGGGTTTTCGTGGATATTTAAAACAACACACACACAAACAGGGGTGTCTAATTGTGACACCCAATGCGCCACAAAGTGCTTTGCCGACCCTCCTTGGGCTATCGCCTGGAGGTGGAACACCCAGCAGTGAGCAGTGTGGTGTACCTGTGTGAGGCAGCGGAGGGGGGGGGGGATTTGCAACGCAAATCTGGTCTTGGCATTTGAGGCGAAGCTACTTGCTGCGATGACTTGTAGCTTTGATTGTTGACCCCGGATTTAGCAACCATTGACAGGCGGGTATTTCTTTCAAAAGCGGAGCATCAACCAGGGTTGTATTACATCTTGGTCCCGTTGCGGCCGCAAATCCTGCTTAGCATTCGAGGCGCATGTTTGCATCCTTTGTGAAATGCCGCGTTCGCCGGGTTTTCAGTCTTCACCTCCCCGGCCCTTTTTGTGTCTGAGCGAAACTGTAGTGCTCTTTTCAACCAGGAAGCTCCCCGGACGCGTCACCTGACAGCTTGGCGCCTGCCAAGTGCCAAGAACCATATTTGCACCTTTTTTTCCAGGAATGTGTGTTGGAGCTATGAATCTGATTCGCGCCATCGATATGCTTGTATGCTTGTGAGGTGGTATTTGCCCCGAAGGAACGTGGTGTGTATACATACGTATCTACATTGATGTATATGTGTTATCTCATATAGACATATTTGTATCCTTCATACCTCCAAAACCGGGCAATGTTGATCCTTGAGTCAACCCAACATTTTCACTCAGTACGGCCCTGGAAGAAAGCGTCCCGGGAACCCCTTAACACAAGTGGGTTTCTAAATCGGGGTCGACTCGAAAGCGGCTGAAGGAGGTGAGTTCCATCTGTGATTTGGATTGGCTGAACTTCACAGCTGCGGACAGTTTAGATCTTCGGCTTGGGGCCATAGGTGCCCTTTTTGGTTGTTTTGGTGGAAAAATAGTTGGCCGGTGGTTGAATCATCTACCAGGGTCATCTATTTGCCCTAAAAGGACACCTATGCTTGGGGCCCTTCCTCCCCCCACCTTTCAGCTGGCGCTCTCTCTCGAAGGACACGCCCCGCTTCGGCGGGACGCTGGTGACCTCCCAGCGCCACCGCTCCGGAAGCGGAGAAGCCGCAGCCGGCGCGGGATGCGCGGCGGTGGTGCGGCCGCGCTTGGGCCGCGCCTGCTTCTTCGAGGGCGGGTATCTGCGGCCCGGCATGGCTCGGTGCGGTGAATCTCTCAAAACGAAAAGGGAATGGATACCCTATCCTCTAACATGGGACCTACTAATTAGAGGGTCAGTTTAACAGAGAGGGTTGAGCTTTTCCAGGCTTGTTTGACATCCAGGGCTGGGAGATGAGGAGGTTGGCTGGTGAAGCAAGTGGATTTGGTACTTGCCTGCGTTTATTGGCAGGCTTTGCTGGCGATTTCGAGTTGCTCTTGCGCAGCTAAGAGGACTCATGTTGGAGTCTGATCCGAAATTGTCCCCCCAAACAGTCAAGCCGCAGTTACGCATGCAATGAAGACCAACAAATCGAGCAACTTGTGCAATTCAAAGCGGCCATGGACAACCGAAAAGCAGCAAGTGCTTGAGTCCAACTTTGTACCTCCTGACCCCCCGCGTGCTCTTTCTGCAGGCATGGGGTGATGCCTGGCAAGCCTTGGCTGGAGGACGTCAGTCGCAACTGTAAAGCTCACGTCGGAAGGGCCCAGAATTTAAGTTACCATGTTCAAACACGAAAAACCAAAAGGACATGGATGCTTGAATGTGTTCCTGTCTCAGGACCCCCTATATAGCACCAAGGACGCACCGCAATTTCTTTGAAAGTCGAAGCCTGGAGACCAGGCACTGCACAGCCCCCCAAGAGGGCCACAAGTTGCAGGGTCTTTGGTTTGGCTCGTCCCGAATGGTGCCGGGAGAAGTCTCAAGTTAGCTTTGGCTCGGGGGAACCCCAGCCAGGAAGTGATCCTGCCCTAGCCTTTGAGTTCCAGAGCCATACGTATGGCTCTCCAGTGGCATTTTGGCCACCTGCAGGACCCGTCTATGGCTGGCAGGGGGCGCCTTACTCTGATGCTCGGTTGCTTTGGGCCGGTGGGCAACACCAAATGCGTAAGCTCGTCGCAGTCATGCAAGATGATCTAGGCGCCATGAGGGAAGCTTTTGAAAGTGACAGTACGAGAGGCAACATCATGACACGGCCCGCCATTTGGAGGGCTTCTTGCGACTTGCCCATTTAGGCATCTCTTTGGTACGTGCCAAAGGGGGTGCAAAGGTTCCTTGACCAATGCGTTTAGCATCGCAAGATGAAATCTAAGGCTCGGGCATGGATTGTGATGGGTCAAAGTGTCAAAAGGGGCCTGGAAAACCACAAGTCCCCCGAGGTGAATTCTTTAGCTCAGTGGTGCAAAGCGAATCGACCTGTTGACCTTTTGGTTTTCCCATCTTGGTCCATATTTAGTCATGGCCACAAAAGGTTAACCTTTTAGTTCCAGGTCCTTGGGCAACTGAGTTCTAGAACATGTTCTTGGCTCAAAAGGGAGGTGTGGCGGGTTTCCGCTGTGTGCCCGCTACAGTACAGGGAATTTGGCAGGCCATCTTTTCGTGAGCCGCAACGGATTGACAAGCCGAGGAGCCGTCTCCCGACTGCAGGTCCCGGAAATTGAAAAAGAAGACTGCGGGGATAGCTCAACTTTCTGGCAACACTTGGAGCTGAACCCACGGCTACTCCTAGCCGATCCCAGGGACAGGTGCATCTTTGCGGGCTTTTCCCTCTTTGTGACAGTCCCGGGCCTCATGGGCAGTCACTCCGCAAGCCAAATTTGGGTATGTGGCAAAACGGGGGGCCAACATGGCAAATGTTTCCTTATGGCTCACTTTAAGCCAAGGTGAAACGAGGTATCCTCAACAAGACACCCCCCGGCCTCAGGATGGTGGGATGGTGGACTACTGACATCCCCACTGCCGAGTGGGGGGACCCCGCGCGGCCTCTGATGCGGGGCTGCGGAACTGACCTGGGGAAGGCGGAAAGCAGCGGCAGTGGCCAGCCCAAAGAGGACGGACCACGGGAGAAATGATGAGCGATGGGTTGGACCTCGAGCCGATCAACTTCTTTTTGCGCCAGCAAAAATAGGGGGACAATAGCCATCAAGATTGTACTGCGCTTGGTGCGCACTTTCTTGAACATTGGATGCCGGCCAGCCTTCATGCCAGTGGATATGCTGGCTTTGACTGGTCGCAGCTTACTTAGCAGTTGGGATCACTTCATCCAATGGTTGGTTTGGGTGTCAGAAGGTTCTTCATTTGCAGCCTTCCATGTTAACTTCAGCGAGAACGAGCATCTTCACAGTTTCAATAGGCATGACAAGCACGGCCCGGTGAGCGGTTGGCATCGTTCGCCTGAACTGGTTTGGTGTGGCTTGGCTAGCCCAATGTCATGCAACGGGTACTTGTCGCATACTCACCCAAGCGGCGGATTCCATACTCCAAGCCAGGTGACTTGTTGGATCTTCGGACTATTTTTGGGGGGAATCAATGGGTTTTTCACCAAACCCACCAAAGGTTCAACTTTTTGCAGAGGGGTCGTTGCAGCAACCAAGCTGATTTCGGACCTAGGCGTAACTCGGACTCCCCGGCTGCCTTTGAGAGGTCGCCGTGGGTGCCACTTCGCCCATCTGGGTGGACGCTGTTGCGGACGCGGATGTGAAGGGTCCGGGTGCGAACCCGCCTCATGGCCAGACATAGCTGACTTGTTGATCGTTAGCCTTTCTGGTTTTCCTTCATGTGAGCCACAAGCAAAATCCGGGCAAATGAAGGTTTGTCAGGGACAATCCCAACCAGAACTACTTGCGGACTGTTCATGGCTTTGGGTACGCCATTCCAAAACCAGGTTTTGCTGATGACTCATGTTGCTTTTCAACCAGCCAACATGTCACTTTTGCGCGTCCAAGTCTGGCCCAGGCCTTACGGCAGATTCTTCCTGAAGAGTCGCCAGCAGATCGATGAAGACCTCCTGAATTGAGGGGGCCAAACGCAAACGAAAAGCATCGCAGCGAGAAAAGGGACCGCATCGCATCCAGTCGCTAGCATGAGGGATAGCACTGGGCACTGGACTCCAGGACGAATCACTCGCTAGCTTTTTTTTGTGCCAGCCCCCAATCTCCGATTTGGCAGTAGGGTTCCTCTTTGACACTTGGTCGGCAATTCCTCCATGTGCCAACATTGGGGTACCCCCCCCGTTGGGAACCCGCTCAACTACTGAAGGGTTGAACAATCCTTGTCAGAGAGTTTGTTTGACGCATGACTTCATGCCAACATATGCCAACCCACACCTGGCTTTTCAATGCTTTTCATGAGGTCTGCTAGATTCCCCCCCCCCCCCGCCGCATAGTACAGGTTAACTGAAGGACGGTCCCACCCAAACTCTGTTTTTTTTGCTCGCAGCTTTTGCCATTCCTTGCTTTTTAGATATACCTGACCTCATGTGGCAGGAGCTTTGGCTTCTCGCATAATCCCTCCGTGTCTCCCAGGAGCGGCAGAAGTGGGAAAGGAACCTGCAGAGCTATGCCAACGAGCTGGCTTTCCTGAGCAACCCGCAGATCCAAGAGGCTCTTGGAGTGCAGACCTTTCGGCGAACGGGCGAACTGCGGGTTCCCGAAATTTTTTTTCGGACCCCCCAAGTGGTTCTTTGATTTGCCGTTGGTTCCCTGGTTTCAAACTCGCCCAGCCTCTCTCGGTGTGGCATCCAACCGCACGCAAGCAACGGGCAATATTGATCTCAGGCCTTGGCGCGACGGGGCGTTCTCTTGCCCAAGACCTTGGGCCCCTCGTCGCCTTGCGGGCCAGCCTTCGTGGAAAGGGGTTTTGCCAACCACTCCTGTGATAGGGGTGGGGTTTTTCCCTCCTGTGATACAAGGGGTTATCCTCTTGATGTGGCAGCTTCGTCTTTGAGAAGCCCTTTTTAGTTGTACAGTGGGTTCCGTTTCCCACGGCCCTGTTCGGGACCGTGCTCAGTTGGGTGCTAAAGCGTTCATGGCCCTGTTTGATGCGAGGGAACCCCCAAGAAAAGATCCTTTAACCGTGAGGTGGCACGTTTGTGAGGCGGCAACAAAAAGTACTCCAAACAGTTAGGGACTTTGTGCAAGGCCAAAAGGGCAGAGTTGTTTGATTCACCCGAAGCCTTCATTTGACACCCAGCTAAACTTGAGGCGCCTGTGCGGAATCCGCAGGTAAACAGGCCGCCAAAAAGTGTCAACATGTTTGTCATGAGGTTTGGTGGCTTGGTACCGGACCGCCCACCTTCTTGAATGTGGCTTAGCTTGCATGTCCCATTCAGACGCTGTGTTCTTTTCCTGCTGAGTCCCTCGGGCAAAAGCATGCTATGGGTTTTGCACAACTTACAAATTGCGACAAGCATACTTCCGGGCAAGTCACCACGCTCTCGCCAAGGGGGCAAAACGAGCTCAACCATGGGGTTCCCTTGTTTCCTTCGGGAATCCTTGCAATTTGCGCGCTCATTTGAGCAATCATGTGTCCAAATCGAGGGCCGCACCAAATTGGAAACGGAGGGGTTCCTTTTTGCTTTCCCTTCAAGTGGACCTCGCCCAACGCAGACACCCAACCCCCCCAGAACCAGGGCAGCCGAGCCGAGGTCACACCTCCGTGCCGGGGAAGTCCTTCGCTCTGCTGACGGCAGCTTAGCTTCGGGCTCTCGTGCCCGACCCTTCGTGGGGTGACCTTTTTGTCTAAGGGGGTCCCTTTGAACAAAAGAGACGCATAATTGTCTTGTTTTTTTTCTTGTTACTTTTTTTTCTCCTGGCGTAAAGCGTCAGTTTCATTGCAAGCCACCAGTAAAGTGCAACTGGTTAAGGGGAAATCCAGCGCCCTCTTGTCAAAGCGTTCCCAGACACGCACAAGTACACACAACACGCACACACAAACAACCTATAACACACGCACAAACGCGCAGACACACACACACACACACCAACACATGCACATGCAAATGCACAATCACAAACAAAACACAACACAGAACCAGAAGCGGCAAACACAAACACAAACACGTACAAAGACACAAGCACAAACACAAGCATGTAAATAAATATATATATATATATACATGTTTCCAAGCTATGGATTGGAGTCGGCTCACTGGAGTCGATGAACCAACTTTCCATGGGGCTGCGCTAGCACACCACATGAGCTGATCTTTCTTTCTTTATGCTCGGCTCTATTTTCACAAGTTAGGCGATGCTGGAGGCGTTGAAGGCATGGGAACTCCCGTGGCAAGCGAGGAAAGATCAAAGTCTTCAACTCCCCTCTCCGACCGGTACAGATCTGTGTGAATCCAGTGCCGGCATGAGTCGTCAACAGCCATCCATATGTCTTACAAGAAACCAGATCCTCCGAATTTTGCCGGGCCTCGCCTGTCTATCCTGTTGCGTTGGCTGGATCTTCTCGGGCCTGCCTGAAGTCTGAAATTCCCAAGAGCCATGGGAAGGCCATGGCCTGTGATCCTTGACCCGTAACGTCCCCCCCCCAAAAAAAAAATGGTCTGATTTTTCAGTAAACCCAGGGACTTCCCCCCTATTCATAAGCTGGGGCGGGGTTGATGCATACAGAGTCAACATGAACTGTTGCTTATACTACTTGTTATCTGTTAGGGGCCGCGTTGGCCCTTTGCAGAGTAATTATCAAGATCAACAATGGTCCCATCTCGCATGTGTGCCCAGGTGTGCAATCCTTGCAAGGCACAAGGGCATGGGCAGTTGAACTGTTTTTTTCCAGACCCCAAAGCTTCACGCCTGCATGTGCAAAGCAGCCTGAAATTCAGGGTGCTGCAATGAAGACCCGAAGGCCCATAGTCAGAAGGCCTCTTTTCTTTTTTTCTAGGGTTTAGTGGGTGTTTTTGAGCACAGCCAGATCAAGATCCCCTTGACAGGTCCGCATGAGAAGCTCAGGAGAACCTGCAGCCGGGCTTCGCCAGTCGCGGCGTCCCCCCGGCGCAAAGGTTCCCAGAAGTGTTGAGGTGGCTGGCCAACTTCCACGGGGCCTTCCAGAGTCAGAGACCCGGCGTATCCGTCCAGTCGGCTAGGATTGAGTGGGGGGAGGCAGAGGTGGAACATGGTGTTTGGTTTTTGATGCAGCTGGATCAACATAAATGAATTGGTATGTGTTTTCTTGCTGGCATTGTTGTGCAGGACGAACAGAAGGAGATTGCATCATTCTGACAAACATGGAACGCGACAGGGACATTGCCCCATTCAAGATGACTTTCCAGGTAAGTGCCACGTTATGGGGAGGGGAGATAATGTACAAGGATCCCACAGCTCATCCATCCAGGTCCCTCACTTGGGAATTCCTTAAACATAAGTTTCTTTTGGTAGAGTATGAAATGACTATGTTTCTTTGCACGGCCTGCGGAGTGTGATGTCACTTCAGAAGCCCAACCAATCAATTTAAAGGAAAGAAATGGTGATTGGTATTGATCATTCAATGCCCTGAAGGAATCGTCAGACCTTTTCATTTTTCTTCCAGAACCCCGCCCCCCCGTTTGGCGCTTGATTCAGTGGTTTCACACCAGACCCCGACCTGACAAAAGAAATATTTATGTCTTGGTTGTTCTACGTCACTTTTCTTGAAGTGGGTTGTTTCCCCTTCACGGGTACACTCATGTACAATGATTGTGCAGCATGCTGACACATCAGGGATCAGGAGTCTGACCCAAGCCTGAGTTCATTAGGCCGATGTTTGTATGATGACCCCTCACAAAGTGTATCGACAGATAAAAAAAAAAATACGCTGTCTACTAGTCTACGTTAAATCTTAGACCCTGGTTCCCCTTAACAGAACAACTCAGGCACCCAACAACAGCACGCCGCGCTCCCCACCAGCACCCCCCAACAGCCCTCCCCTCCGCCCCACCTCCCCCCTACAACCTTCCCCCCCCATAGAACAAAGTCTGCACCAGCCGTTTCTCATTATATATTTACATTTTTGGACAGGGGGAATTCCGCTTGGATTGGAAAAGCCTTGGGCAAGAGTCAGCTCCATGAATCACAGATGTTCGCGGGGACTCACATCAAGAATCTTGACCCTGCCTCCAACAATCATGGAAGCTGACAGGAGTGTTTTGGAAGGCTACTTTTCAAAAAACCTCCAGGTCCACTTCCATCATTGTTGGAAAGCGTGTACTCCCCCTGTGGAAAGTGCCAACAAAACCTGGCGGCACCCACGGTTGGAGCATCCAAGTGTCTAGATGTCCCGCTGAGGATGCCCACGGAACATGGGCTTTGGGACTTTGGCCGCCCGGCAGGTTCAATGGGCACTCGGTGGATTTGTAAGCCGCCGAACCAAAAATAGGAGGTGCTTTCCCTTTTCGAAGGGAGCCCCCTCACTTTTGAGGAGGCGCCCTGTCCATATCGGCGGGATCCACCAGCATGGTTCAGCATTCTCAGGGCTGCCAGGAGCTTGCTCGCAAGTCGCCATTTGCTTGACTTCTCGAACCAACAGTTATGCAAGGGCAGCCCTCAGCACCGATTGCTTCACTTGGTGCTCCAAGGTAGCACAGGTCCAGAGCCAGCCTGGGTCTTGTCAAGTGGTGAGGGCAGCTGTTCCGGAGCCTTGCGCTGTTGCTTTATCAAGCCAGAATCATGTGCCAGTGGGGGTTTCATGGTTGTTGTTGGGAAACATTTTACATTTTTGCTTATTGTGGTTTAGTGGGAAATCCCCACTTAACTGCTAAATTTTCATTTTTTGCTCCCCTTCAAACGCCAACCAAGGTTTTCCCAAACGCGATAGCTGAACATGTGATTGCTCCACTGCCAGGAACCCACGTCCACTTGGACCGCCGCCCGGCGGGGGAGATTGACAAACTGCCAGAGGGCATCGCCAGCTTTTGCAAAGCCTTTGAAGGCGTGGCTTGTGTTGGGCCATGGGATTTTCCTGCTGTTGCCGGACGTTTTTCGGATTTCCTGTTGGCTGGTGCAGGGACAAGTTGCTTCTATCTATCCCGTATGCTTGTCTGTGTTTTTCTTCAGGCTGTGTTTCCTTGCATTGCGTGACGCTAAAAGCATACAGCTGATGGCACCAAAACCCCTCGCCTTGGTGAGCAGTTGGCAAAATCAAGACTCAAACTCTAATTGCAATGCAATTCCGGAAGTTTAGATGTTTTTTCCGGACGTTTCAGCAAGGGTTTTCTCTTTCGCGTGGTCGTCCCTCCAGGTGAGGACGACTTCTTCCGGCGCCCGGCGGCGGCGAATTTGGGGAGCCGCCTGCAGCAGGTGGCGAGCACGGTGTCCAGGCACCTCACGATCAGGCGCGAACGGCCGGCTTGCTGGTGGAAAATCCAAGCGCCATACTGGCCCACAACTTTGGTATCATTTTGGTTGTTTTTTTGGGGTATCCCTTGCCCCTTTCCAGATTCTCCCTTTTGCATGATTGCCACTTCCTGAAACGGGGGAACGAAGTGATAATGTTGGCCCACCTTGATACTACAGAGAGGCTGATTTCCCATCGTGGTGGTTTGCGCTTTTCTGGTTGTGCGACCGAGGCATTCAGTCAAAGTCAAGACTAAATTGTTGATTGTTGTGGGCAACATATGCCCATCATATGCCCATGCCCAGCGTTATTTCCATGCACGGTCCAGCCCTGGAGGTGTTGAACCCACTTGGAACAACTCCTGCAGGTAGATTGGTTTCCTGGGAAACGAACTTACGAAAGGTCCCTTTCCTTAAGGACATGGGATGGTTTGCCATCGGTCCAAAGTTGGGGGGGGGGGGGGGCGGTTCCTTGCCCTGGCCAGGCAAACTGAAAGCAGTGGTGGTCCGGCAATTGCAGCCCACTCTTGTTTTCACCATCGGATGTTCAGCTCGTGAAAAGCATCACGACTCACTTGCCAGAAGCCGATCTGTTCGGTTTTCCAGTGCTGAATTTTGAGTCAAGGTTCCAGCATCGCAGATGCTATTTGCACGTCCTTCGGACCAGTGAGGCAAGCGGTTGGTTTGAGACGCGCAGGCCCGAGAACCTGCATCGCATGACACTGGTGCACGGCGACTTTAAGGGAGCCAACTACTTTCTGAAGTGCGAAGGCTAGCGTCGGCACGCGGGGAGTTTGCGACGACCCAGGATGAAGGTTTCTTCAAAAGGGATCCTGTACTTTCGGCTGATGAATCGCCCTTATGAATGCACCGGAGCAAGCACATTTGTTGAGAGCAGCCTTCTCCTCTTGCTTGCATCAGTGAGATCCCCAAATCAAGATGCCAACTCTTGGCGGTTCCCAGCATGTCCCAACACCGGAACCTGAGGGCATTGAAGACAGCTTAGATGCACATTTGACGGCAGAAGCTTTCCTTGGTGAAGCACAAGACTCAATGCTGAACAGATAGGACAAAGGCAGCCATGGGAGAATATTGTCTGTCGCCTTGAGGAATTCTTGCCTTGGCAGCATTCGCATGCCTCCTGGATACCCATGTCGAGTGACCCGTTTGGAGACACTTTCTAAGCCACGGACGGGGGAGTTGCAGCTACCTGAGCTGAAGGCCTTAAACGACGCACCTGGCGGTGTTTTAAGGCACGATCTATGTGTTGTTCAAACACCGCATGTCCTTTAAAGGGATGTGCACTAGACAGCAAGCCTAATATATCGGATGTCCGTCTTCGTGAGGCTGGGGGGCAAATGAGCCAGAATCAAAACCCGGGTAATTGAAGGTTAGTAAGTGACGATCCCAGCCATAAATAGCTGCGGCCGCCTTAGTTCTTTACATGGTTCTGGGTCGACCATTTTTGTACTGGGTTTTCTTTGGTGCATTTTGCTTGGATGTTAGGACTGTAACTTTTTGCCAACTAATGGGTTTTCCGTATGAAACCACTAAAAGTTAGTCACTTTTAGCAGGGGAGCAGAAAGCAACCGAGATTTGAGCAAGCGACTCAAATGCCTTGCACCCTGAGGTGAGGGCTGCACTGCAATTGACTGGCAGTGGACTGGACCTGGCGTTGGGGCCACGGAGCCTTTGGCGTTGGAGCGTTCAGCGAAACGGGAGAACGAGGGCCATGTAAATCAACTAGGTCCCCCAGTAGTGCCCTTCTACCCTTTTTTGGGGGAGGGTTTCTCTACTAAAATGGACTACAGAAAAAAGGGTACCCTCTCTGCTGGCCTAACTTGGCAACGACACGTTTGGCACGTTTGAGGTCCTAATTGCAACTACCCTTGTTTCTCGCTCCAGTCATGGGAAGGGAGAAGCTTCATTTCTGTTGCAATTGCGGGCATTCGCAATTGCAAAGGGACTGTTCCAGCGTCCGTCGCTGTTGAAGTTGCAATGGACATGCAAGCTAAGGGGTTTGGGCGCGAGTGTTTTGAAGCGGCAGACACAAATTTGTGGACGTGTCGTTGATTGGTTCCCTGGATACTCAGGACTTGATCTACCTATTATGCGGCAGTGTGGAGGACAGATCAGGGGCCATGGGACAGGAAAAATGAGCCCCCTCTTTCTGTTGAAACGTGCTTCCATTAGTCACGAGTCATTTGTTGATTTATTGATGGCTGTGTGCTTCTTTAATGTCATGCTGTAATTATGGCATGCTTCAATATGAGTGAGGTGGCTTGTGTGGGTACTTCAGCGAGACTATCCGGGTGGTATTGTTTTGTGGCAGCATGCCCCCTGCGTGGCAAAGGCCATGCTCCTTGCTGTTATTTCAAGCACGTTCTTTTCTTGATGAAGGGGATGCCCCCAAATGAAAGGACCAAAACGGACACATATATTCAGCAGGCATTCCTCCAGCTGGCCTGCGTTCAGGATGAAATTGTGGAGAACTACCAGCCACGCGGCGCAGTACATGCCTCTTTTGAGTCTGGTCCGTATGCCCGGCAAGCAATTGGCGGCTTTTTTAAGGCGAGGCTGAAGATTTGCTGCGCCTCAAGGCTCATGCCTCATCCAACCCCAAAATGAGAGTTTGATAAATGGGCATCCCCTCTGAAATTGTTGGTAGACATAAGTTCCAATTGCTGTCCACCAGTTTGGGTCCCCACGTTTCGCGTTTCGTGCGCCCGGTTGGTGCGTTTTGAGCCCCGTTTGCTTTGTGGAAAAGCCCAGGCTTCCGATGAGTCAGGCGGTGAGGTTCGAATCCGCTCGGGCGCTTCAGGCATTGGCTGAAAGAGTACCACAAGAGCTTGGGACTGGAAGAGCTTCCCAGCTGCACTCACTCGAGTTCATCGGTTTGAGACTCTTTGGGACCATTCTCGTGGTAAATGTAAAGCTTGAGTTTTTTTTGGCCGGTCCACTCGGGAAGTGAGACTTGGGGTGAAATCCGGCGCACGCTTTCTCCAAAGCAAGTGACCACTTTGCTCTGGTTTGTGGCAGCTCAGTCATTCTGAAACGGCAAACCGTTGCTTTAGCGTTTGTTTCTTCGCCGTTCGCGGGGCGATTCTTTTCCCCCTGTTTTTGGAGTTTTGGTTTATATGTCTTTCATCAGGTGTCCACAATTCAAATGCGGTTGAAGTTGACAATGACAGCAGGTTGCAGGGCGTCATGCAATGCGCATCATGCCAAAATCATGAAAATGTAAGTGCATACATATATATATATATATACAACTTGATTTATTTGCATCTATACATAGACATATTACATTATTGTGTTTCTGTGTCCACGCATTTAGGAAAGGAGGTGCGTACATGCATATACATATATTTGTATAAATATACATATATATATATATACGCATGCAGATGCACACAATATGCAATTCGGGCATTCCAGACATGACGGATCATCACGGTCCTTTTCCAGAGCAGAACAGGCACAGCGAGAACACCTTGGTTGATTTTGGGCCTTTTTGGACCTGGTTGGCAGAGTGGCAGCTGCTTGAATTGACTGCTTTGAAACCTGGGTGTGGTGTAGTTTTCCTTCCAGTGTGTGAAGAACCATGCCGAGTTGCTTGCTTGTTTTGCAGCTTGCGGCTTGCCCGGCTCAGCTCCAAGTTACCCTTTCAAGCAGCTGGAGCTGGATTTCAAGGCTGCCACGCTTGACTATGCACGATGGGCGCCTGGACTAAGATTGAGGGGAATGGACCTGATCTTATCAATGCGACCAGAGCCCATAGGCAGTTGTGTTTTGCCGCTTGCTGCTTGCTTACCATTTATTGCCCCATGCCAACCAGTCTGAGGGAGAGTTGCCTGAGGGTTTGCTCAGTGGAAATTTGACGCCAACCTTCTGAAGAGTCCAACAAGCATGTGCCCTAAAGGATCTGACCATTCCCCACGCGTAGTTTTGACCAGTGCACCACCCTCGATGTTCAAACCATGGGACAGGTGCTCCAAGAGTTGCCAGGGCTTTGCTGGCTGGCGTCCTTCTGCTTTTGGTGTTTTGGGGGTTGCCCTGTGCACGACCAAGTCTGCAATTCCGTATGCTCAGACGAATTGCATTGGTTTTGACTAAGTGCCAAAGTAGGCAAAAAAGAAGCTGACGGCCCATCATGGGGCCACATGCCAGGGACCCCCTGCACAGGGCTTTGGTTGCTTGTTTCACAGCTTTCTTGCCCCTCGTTTGGTCGATTCTGATTAAAAGTGCACAGAGGAGAACACCGCCCCATGATTTTGGCGATTCAATCTTTCCGGGCTCAATTTGTCAGACCTTACCAGGCCCCATGTGCTGTCGCTCCCCTTGCTGTAGGGGCATCCTTTTACTTGCCCATTTTACCCACAAAGACGGAGTTGTGCCATCCAATTTCACCCTGGGGGGGGGCGGATCCAAGCCAAAGGATCCGAGTGCCGTTGCCAAAGGTCTTCGCGTACCGCCTGCTGGGGGACAGTCCGGAGAAGTTCCGACAGCGGGCAGAGAAGGTGGATGAGAACTTGGGCATCTTCCGGCGCCATGTCCCCAGGCCGTTGTTGCTGGACATTGCGGTTGGCAAGTGGGGGTTGGTCCGCAGCTCCTGTACATGGGGTGACCATTCGGGAGAGCACCAAAAAAGCGACTTCAATTATGTTTCAATCAAACCCATTTAAAGACATGCTGGGTTTCAACCAAGAACTTGGAAGCGTGCGACCTGTTTTGCTTTCAACCTGCGCAAGGGCCGCGTTCGTGTAGAATCATGGAGCCCAAGCTGTTCTGTGGAATCGCTCCTCACAGCGCCCAATAGATATCAGCTGGCAGGGCGCGATGGCTGCTGGCATTAGTTGAAGAGTTCCTGCCAGAGATCGAGGGAGGTGCGCTCGACTGAAGGCCAGGGGCGATAGGCCAAGGGCGACGCCGCGAGTGTAACTGTCCCTTGTGTACCCTTCCGACCACCTGGCACCCACTGGAGACTCCCTTCTAGAGCAAAATTGTCTTCCAGGACCTCCCGGGCAGATTCCATGTGCATCTCGGAAGGTTGAACAGACCTCGGCAGGTATTGAGGTCCATCCCTTTCATTTGGCCGGTTGCTGTGGCCCCAATCAGACGGTTCCCTGCCTGTGCGTTCCAAGTCACGAGACAGGAGAGAGCTGATTATTATTTCATACGAGCGGCTTTAGCAGGTGCTGCTCCTTGCGAGTGAAGCACGTGCTGCTAACATGGCACGCATAAGATTGCCGCCACTCCTTTGGAGCCGAGGCCCAGTTTTAGTGGATTTCCCCACGTTTCCCACTCAGTTTGGCTTACTTCCCCTGAGATTGTCAACCCCAGGTTTTCTCTTTCTACCAGAGGTCTTTGGGCAAGGGTAGCGATCCGCCACTTCCAATGTCTCTGCCCAGTGCCCTGCGGTTTCCCGCTTAGAGTTGGCAGTAACCTGCCCCTATCGTGCACACTTGAGGGTCTTTGGACTATGTGGATGTCTTGGAAAGACGAGAGGTGGGAGGTCGGAGACAGCCGGGAATTCAGAAACCTTGGGGAGAAATCCGAGCAGACACTCAAGAAGTAAGCCTCCTGGAGCAACTCTTCAAATGGCGCTGGAGACCTCCTTGCGGCGCCGATTCAATGCACATAGTCATTTATAAGCATCATGCCACCACCCTTGGAATCTCCGAGACCTTGCTCCAAAGCTGCGCGGGTACAGGAAGGGTTAGTTGAGGTTGGACAGAATCATTAGTCAGCACTGGCCAGCGCTAAGGTAACATGTACATACCATCCTTTCCTGTCGTCCCGATGCTTGACCTGCCCTTGTGCAGGTATCAGCGTAACACTTCTGCTCGCTCGCTGCGGAATAGAAAGTCGCCTTGGAGCGCTTTGGGCGGGTGGAGGGAGGGGCAAGGTCAAGGGGCCTTGATGGGTCGGGGTGAGGTGCCTTTGTTTTGGGCGTTCCGGTCCCTTTACCGCATGCAAGTGCACGAATCCCTGTTGAAAGACCAGTTTGCATGTGGAAAGGCCAGTTTGCACCTCGCCTTTTTGTGTTGCCTCGATGGGTTCGAGGAGCTAGAGCTTGCTCCGGAGGAAAGACTGTTGAATACGTTGACGTGCAGACCTTCTCTCATCGCAATGACAGGAGATGCGGCTGCTGTTGGATTTGATTGGCATGAGTTTTCTGAGCGTATGTGGCATCACCATTCTCATTGAGCCGGGGCAGAACTCCTCATCATCCATTTTACTACTTTTCATGGGCCACGCCATTGTGGGGAAACGGTCGTCATAGGTCAAAAGCCAAATCGAATATAATGGGTGGTGCACCTACAGTACCCAAAATGGGATCCCATTGGTCTGGACCCACAGCCAAATCAGTCTTGACTGCAGACATGCTTCTGCATTTCTCTCCGCAGGCTAGGCTGGCACGTGCTGGGATCTCAGGTGAGGCACTGGGTTTGCCTGTTCCGTGGTTGCTGGCTATGTTCTTTTTGGTACTAGGTCACTAGGTACCGCAAACCTTCCTGGTACGAGGCGGTCCAGGATGAAGCCAGTTCGTTAGGGATAGCATGTATTTCTATGTGGGGTTCATTGTGTTGCTCATCGCGACCAGCTACGGAGAGTTTCTCGTTTTGTACCGCAGAGGCTTCTCGCAAGCAAACCGAGATCTAGGATCGCGTAGTCCACGTAAGCCATTCCAAAAAGATCCTGAGTCATGTTCGCGTATTCGTGTTTTGCCAGAATGCTACAACCCAAAGAGTAGCTTGAGAGCAGGTTCCCATCGGTCGCGTAGGCGCATGTGGACGAAAAAGGCCTGCGTAGGCATCCTCCGATGTTTGTCTGCACTTGTGAATGCAGCCGCGTAGGCATGCTTCCAGTGTACACATGGCTTTATCTACCAAACAAAGCTCTATCAACATGTTGGGTAGGTCGGGGGGGGGTAGCAGGGGGGGGGGGGGGGGTTGGCCCGGACTTGTTGCTTAGAAGGTAACGGTATTGTTTTTATTCGAGGTTTTTGCCGGATTGTTCCTTTGGCTGAGGTCACTGCAGAGCTTGAGTCTTTGACACGTGCGGCACCCCCGAGACAAGGCAGGTGTGTGTGTGTG